CCCCCAGCAGCAACCTTCTTATGGGGCTTAAGTACTGCTATTGGCTAGGATTCTACTTTAACTAGCTGTCATTTAGGCAACAGGGCGAGGAAGGGGTAATATTATACACCTCAGATTTTTATGAGAAAGTGGTAATTAGAAATTAGAAATATAGAATTTTAATAACAGTTTGAGCTTGATTTTAGCAAATGCACCAGGCGTGCAGTAACCTTGTGCACAGCAAACATCCCTCTCAGATTTGATAACACAGTATGGATGTGCCCGCACTGCTCCGGGGCCCGGAGTGACCCCCTTCCATGCCCATCACAGCCCTGCCCTCAGAGCCATCATCAGCTAGATGTGGCTGGGGAGGGGACCCGGCTGAGCTCACAGAGGACATCAGAGCCAGGCAGGTATGAACAAACCCACTCCTTCCTTCCACTTTGAGTGAAAATTTGGCCAGAAATGGCCCTGAGGACCTGCCTTCTCCAGGGTTGATTCTGGGGGAGGTTGGGGGAAAGAACACTGAAATGATAAATAAAGGAAAGTCCCCAAATTGATTGTTGATTCTATAGGGGAAAATGTGGAAGCTGAAATAAGCAAGAAAAGAAACAAGGATTCTGTCTCCTCTTCTAGGAACGCTTGAGGGTTGTCTGAGCTCCTTGAGGAATGTCCAGGCCGTCTGGGAAGTTCAAGGTGACAGCACAGTCTGGAGGCATCTTTGGAAACCAGAGCCCCAGGGAAGAAGGGACATGTGGCCTGGGTGCAGAGCCATGCTGTGTCCCGAGAAGGGGTATTCAGGGTCCCGGGTGTCACCAGCAGCAGAGTCAGCCGGGTCCTGATGACTTGCACATGGGGACATGGGGCACACCTCTAATGCTGACCTCCATTTCCCCAAATCACCAAGGATGTCCCAGCTCCAAGGGATGCGAACTGGTGCAGTCTCTTGGGATCCCTAAATATTCTCCAACTCCCCAGCCCTGGGGCTCTGAGAACACTGGCTCTGGGGGCCTTCCAGGGGACACGGTCTCTAACTACGGGATGCACAGATGCCCATGTCTGACCTGCAAGATGGCAACTTCATTCAGTCCAGCCTCGGAGCATGCACCAGGCACAGGAACATCAGGACGGCCTCAGGATGGCCACCACCCCGTGCCCTTATGGTCTCACCTCTCTAGATCCAATGAGCTGGACAGACTGCAGAGCCTGACAGTGAGGGAAGTGACTCGTGCCAGCAGAACACTAGCCCTGCTTGGCTTGCAGCCTACCCTGGACTCTAGGAAGGGGAGGCTTCCATAACTGCTGCTGGGGGTGAGGGGATGCGACACTAACTTGCAAAAGTCCTGTTCTGGCCCAAACTAGACACAGGAAGCTGGTGGGAGAGGGGCAGAGAGAGGACCTCTGCCTGACAGCTGTCCCTTCTGACCTATCCTGGCATCCTCCTGTCCTGGAGTCCCCAAGCCCAACAGTCATGGTATGAGAGCCTACGCCCAGAAAC